TCTCGCTCTCTCTCTCTCAAGTTCAGAAGACAACTGCTTTATCAGTCCCACAGAGAGTCTACCAACAGGACGTGGGAACAGAAGTGAGGTATTCGGCGGTGCTCTGCTTGGATGTGGACCGCGACTCACCCACAAGGTGCCCAGGATTGGCACGAGAGTCATCAGGGTTTTCCTTGCTATGGCCACTCAGATTTGCCACAGAATAAGTCCCAGTGTTCTGGGAAGAGGGCTGGCAAGAGGAGAGCACCATGACATGGGAACAGTCAGGGTCCCTGGTGGATAATTAACACTGAGCGTGTTAATTACAAGGACACTAGGAAGCCATTTCCTAGAGGTGGCTGCAGTGATGGTTTGCTGAGCACGAGGAAGTGTCAGGTTCAGTGCAGTTCTATACGTTATATAATATACACTATATGGGATATACACGGTATACATCATTATCATGCATGATATATATTGAGTTTTACAAACTTTCCAAGCTCCATAATAACTCACAGGGTAGCTACGAGTAGCTCTACTTTAAAGAGGAAACCGAGGTTCAGAGAGGCAGGTGACTGTCCCAAAGGCTAACACTGAGCAAGAAGAATCTCAGAGAGCTTGGCTCTTGCTGGGGGGTCCTCACTGGAGGCTGACGCAGCTCTGAGGCCCACTCCCCACCTTCTTGATTTAAAGCAATGCAGAGAAGAGCCAAGGCCAAGGCGACTCTGCTGGCGAGAGCTGTGCCTGGGACCCAGTGCAAAGAGTTGAACGCTTGGCTGGCAAAGACGTGAACTGGATCACCGTCAGAAGAGGGATGGATGCTCAGCTCCCCAGACAGCTGAAGGGACGCAAAATAACTTTGGATTACTGTTTTGTGGTGTGTGTGTGTGTGTAGGTGTGCATATGTGTGTGCATGTGTGTTATGAGTATATGTGTGTATGCATGTGTCTGTGTGTATGTGTTTGTGTGTGTATGCATTTGTGTGTGTGTGTGTGTGTGTGTGTGTGTGTGTGTAGGCCAGATGGCAATGTTGGGCATCTACCTCGGTCACTCTCCACTTTATCTTTGAGTCACAGTGTCTCACTGAACCCAGGACACGCTGACTGTCTGACCAGTGAGTTCCATGAACTCTCTTATCCATGTCTTCAGTATAGGGGCTTCTTTGTTTTAGATTCTTAGTGTCAGGGTCTAAGGACTATCTCTCCTCCCCCTTACCTCTTCATTGTACTCTGTCATCTTTTTTTCCCTGAGACCACATTGGCCCGTCCAAAAATTTCCTTGATCTCATTCTCTGTCGAGTGAGACCCAAGCGAGGTTGTCTGTACCTGGCACATTGCTGTAGCCTTTGTCCAACCTTCCTTAAATACATGGAGGTCCCTACTCAGAGGCTCCCAGGGCTCCTGGCCCTAGAGCAAAGTTCAGCCACATTTACAGTGAAGTCATCTCCTATACAACTTTCCCTGCCCCCTTCCCCCACCTCCTAGGCTGTAGACAGCTTCCAGAACCACCCAAATACCTTTCCTCCAGTTCCTATCTGAGAAACCAGATTCTCTACTTGCTAATTCAACAGCTATTCACCTCTTCTGCCTTCCAAGAAGAAGCCCATCATGGTCGTGGCAATGACGTGCCTGCCTAAAAATACTTGATCATCTCTAGCTACCACGTTTGGCTCACCGCATAGCCAAGCTCTGATTGGGAGTGGGGGGGGGTACAGCAGTCTCCTTAAACCCCCATGCTAAGGGTGGCGGAACGACAAGACATAGTTCGGGTTCCTGATGACACAGATGAGGCATCGCGCCTTCCCCGCAAAAGTATCCCAACTGGGTAATTCACATGGACTCCAGAGTCTCTGTTGGTAGCGGCGGAATCAATGCTGTCCTAGGCATCCTCACCCAGGCATTGTTCTTTGTCATTCATGGGTCAGTTTAGAAGCCACCCCCTCCAGGAGACTCCCCCATAGGCCCCCCCAGAGCATCATAATCACACCCTCCCGTGTGCGTCCACAATAGTTGCTTCCCTCAATTATAGCACTTACTTCATTCTGCTTGATTGGGTCTAATGAACACTCCTACTGTCTGTTCAAGCTCCTAGAGGGTAGGGGGTCTTTATCCCACCAGTATCTCCATTAGCATGGAGCAGAGCTTTGTGCTGAGGCTGGGGCCTCTGGTCCCCCAGCATCCCTGCAATGCCCGGCACGGTGCACCTCACCGCAGCAGTGAGAGGACCCAGTCTGTGGGTACTGACACTAGACTCGAGCTGTTTGGTCTAGGAGTTGGTCAACAAGGGAGCCGATCTCTCTAGGCCTGCACTTCTTCATCTATAGAGAAGGAGGGCCCCTATCTCTCCTGGCTGTCACAAAGACAAAATAGTCTAATCGGAAGCTCTTAGGCCTGGCGTATAAAAGTGTTTAACGACTGCGGGCTCCTATTAGTCGCCGGAATTATAGCTGTTGAAGAAATAAATACATCAACACTTAGTGGCCAAATAGATGCATAAACAAATGAAATCCAGATGAGTCCCTGAGTGGAGACCCAGGGCAGTAGTTACTGCTGCCAGTCCTGCCTGCCCTTGACCCTTGGATTTGTCATCCCAGTGACCTCCTGCCTCAGAGATGAATGCTGTGAAGTCAGCCCGGCCTCCAACACAGACCCTGCATTGCACCCTGCGGGTTGGCCAAGCTTTTTTTCACCTCCGTGGGTCCTCGGTTTCCTCAACCAGCATCTGAAGACAGTAGCAATTGATGGCTTGGGGGGTGGTAATGGCGAGGATTACATGGTAAAGCATGGCCATTCAGCAGGCCTAGATACTGTAACAGCAAGTACTAGCAACAATTACCAAACACCAACATGATTTTTTTTCATTGCTGTTAAAGGCGCAGTGTCCCAGTAACCACCAAGGCCTAATGTGCTGGGATGTGACCATTGTGCTAGCCTAGATCCTTTGTTTTAAACTTGGGAATCCAATGTTTTCAGTGTATGTGATCTCCCCCCATCCCATGCTGAGTCACTGGTTTACCCTGAAACTTTGGCTTTCTGAATTTTCCCCTTAACATGCCATTATCTGCAGGTGGATACTTAGTTGACATCAAAGCGTACCAGAAAGCAAGGTACAAGTTCACAGAACAGCCGTGGAGCCAAGTATTTAACAGTAACAATATTTCCACACACCACAGGCCTGATTACTGTCAGGGACACATTTTAATCTTATCTTTAGATTTCCCCCTGGCCTCAAAAGAACCGGCATAAACAAACAGCTTTACCTAACTTTCACTTTAAACTTAAACCTTTACTACGTTGGTCCCACGGAACCACTTGACGGCTCCATTAGTCCATTTTACTATCAAACAGGCCATTTAACAAGATATTTATTCCACTTGGCCGTCATCCAAATGCTTTTTGACATTACTGCCCTGGGCCTGAACTGCTCAAACTCGAGGCCCTTCTAAACAGAAAATCACCCTTTGACTTAAGTCTCTGAGCGAGCGCTTCGACTCTTCTCTTCTGTGGGGTTAATTTCTGCTCTAGAGAAGCCAGTGTTTTAAGAGGCTTGTGGGAAGTCCAAGCTGCTTAGGGGTCGCATGGAGGTATTCTTGTCTCCCAAGTCCTGCTTCAACACAGGGCTGACCTCTGATCGAAGGAGCTACTCACTTCCAGAAAGAGATCTTTAGGGAGCAGCACATGGAGAACTCCCGGGGCTCTAAAGAAGACAGTGATGCCTGGGGCCCCAGCTGAGCAATGACTCTGAACAGGGAGGGGTGCTCCCTCCTCCTCCTCCCTACCCCCAACAAAAGGCCATCGCGGAGCAGCGGAACCCACTGGCTTTGAATCCAACCAGTCAGGTGGAAGCCTGGGCAAATCACGACTTGGCTACTGAGGCAGGTCTCCCCAACCCACCCTGCCTGACAAGCCCTCCTCCTCCTCCTCCTCCTCCACCGCCTCCCCTCCCGCGCTCAGCACAGCTAGGAGGCCAAAGGGACCTTCCCGAGATGCTCCTGCTTTCCAACTTTCCGAGCTTCCTGGTCTTCGCAGCCTCCTGCAAAGCCGCTCTGGAAAGGGCAAGTTTGCAAAAAAGCCCAGGATCCCAAGTCCCGGGGAAGCCACAAAGACGCTCCAACGCCAGCAACGATTAACCGCTTGTGGGACAAGACTGGCAAACGCCACGGCCACTCAGGCGGGAGACCCGGGCTCGGGCTGCTCCGGGCAGGGCCGGAGACCGCAGGGACCCCCGGGGGGCCGCGCTCCCCCCCCCACGCGCCCCCCCTCCCCGCGCACCTGAGCGGGGCGTGGGCACAGCGCCGCGCTCAGGCCCGGCCCGCGGGTCGCTCGCCCGCCGCCCGCAGCCACCGGGAGCGCGACGCGAGGAGAGGCAGCCTCAGCACGGCGGGCGTCATGCTTCCTGCCACCACATTACAGCGAATCGTCACCGGGAGAGGAGAGCCGAGGGGAGAGAGCGGGGGAGGGAGGGAGGGGAGCAGCCACACGCAGCCCCCAGGCTGCCCAAAAAAAAGCGCCGAGACGCGGCCACGTCCCGGTGGAGTCCCCGCGGGACCTGCCCCGCTCGCACAAAGCGCCGCAGTTCGGCCAAGGGAGGCAGGGAGCCGGCCACAAAATAAATAAATAAAAACCAGAGTCGGCTCTACGTAACGCCCTGTCGAAAGCGGACGCCATATTTTTTTGTGGCTTATGTCGACATAGGGAAACGTAGACATGTTTTTTTTCCTCCTCCTCCTCGGTCTGGCTTCCATGTATCCAAACTTGTAATCAAAACTATTTCGTAAAAAAAAAAAAAATCTCCGTTCCCCCCGGCCCCCGCCCCGCACCCGCGGATTTCCTCCCGCCCGCGAAAAGAACAAGCCCGCACCCCCACCCCCCGCGCACCCCCGTCCCTAAGCCGGCCAAGTCCCACTAACAACACATCGCCGGGAGCCGCGGCGGCGCTGGGAAAGTTGGGCTGGAGTAGCGGGCGCCCTGCGTGTCGGGCTCCGGGCTGCGGGTGCTCCGCGCCGGGGCGAAGTTTCTTACCTGCGGCGGGGCTGGGAACGCGGGGACCCGGGCTGGGAACGCGGAGACCAGGAACGGGCGTTCCAAAATGGAACTCTGCTGGCTCCCCCCACCCTCTCCCCACTCCCCACCCGGCGCCCGACTCAGGCTCCGTGGGAAAGAGGAGGCGGCGGCGGCGGCGGCGGTGGGGAAAGCCAGCCTGGCAGACAGACAGACGGACGGGAAAAGCCCCCGTACGGAGAACGGTTGGGCGAATTTTTTTTAAAAGAAGAAAAAAAGGAAAAGAAAAAGAAAAAGAAAAGGAAAAAAAAAAGAAAAAAAGGAAAAAAAAGGGGGAAAATGCCTTGATCAGAGGGGAATCTACGCCAAAACCCACATGATCTGTAACGTCAGCATGCGTATTTGCATACGATACCACCGCCGGAGCTGCCACCCGGGCTCGGGTTCCGCAGAAAGTTACAAAGTGAAATTCGGGCCCCTGGGCAGACGCCGGCGAAATGTCATTTTTAGGAGGGAGCTGCGGGTGGGGGGAGGCTGGCCCTCAACGCTCCGATGAGTGGCCAAACGGGAGGAGGGGGTGTGCGTGTGCAGAAAATGAACTTAAAAGTCCGAGTCCAGGAACGGACTCGATGGAATTTTTGCGGGAAGAGACGGGGGAGGCGCCAGCGAGGTCACGGAATCCTGAGCGGCCGCCGCCAAGCCCTCCCGGTGCAATGCCCATAATCTTTATGAAAAGTTCAAGGTGTCACTGGCGAGCTCGGCAAACTGTTGATCCTCACCCGCCACGTGGAGTGGCGGGCCGTGGGACCGCAGGGCGCGGGGGCTCGCCCGGCGCCGGCAACACCCGGGGCTCTGCGTCCTCCTGCGGGGCGCGGGGGCGGAACGCGGGCGGGGTCCTCCCGCGCCCTGGTCTCCGCCTGCTCTCTCCCCCCCCCCCGCTCCAGAAAATAATAACGTACTTAAAAACTTTTTTTTTCTTTGTTTGTTTTAAAGCAAGGTTCGTCTTGCTCCCGGAATAGTAAAGAGAGGGCTTGGGAGCAGGGCGGGGAAGAGGGCGCCCCCGCCTTATGTAACCACTGGAAGTCAGGGCACTTTTGTTGGGGGTGTCCGCTCGCGCCCTGGCTCGGTCTGGTTAAAGATCTTCAGACTTTCCCCCTCCGAACCCATGACAAGCAGACTCCGGGGGAGACGACTTTAACTTGTGTAGCCCAAGTTCGCAGTGACTCTCAGATCCCGAGAAATGGAAATGCACGCGCCGGCGGCGGCGCTCGCCCCGCAGCCCCTCAGAAGCGACACGGGTGACGTTAGGAGCAGGGACGGCCAGCCGCGTTCCCCGCGGGAGGGGTCTGCAAACGCGACCTCCTCCTGCGCTGCCGAGCACCCGCGGGTGTGTGTGTGTGTGTGTGAGTGTGTGTGCGCGCGCGTGTGTGTGTTCCTTCTCTGCAGCCTTGGGAGCCGTGAACTTGTGACCCGGCTGCTGTGCTACAGGGGTTCAAAGGCTTTAAGGGAGCATCCCAGGGACGCTGAGGCCCTGGGGCAGCCACCTGCCCGCGATGCGCATTCCTGCCCTCTGGGACCCCGAGTCCCTTTCGCAGACTCCGGGGCGCTGGGGGGTTTCTTGGGCGCGGGCTCTCCGGAGCCCACCGTGGGCGAGGGGGCCAGAGCTCTGGAACCCATTTGTGACCCTAGTGGTTATTCGAGAAGAAGGGGGTCTGGGGCGTGGAGTCGCCTCCCACCCTGCGGGTGAGCAGGCGCGCGCGCCGGGGCTTCCCAGCCAGCTCTGCTCCGGGGAATTAGAACGAACTCTAGCGGCCGCTTGCGACTCCGCTCGGGGCCCCAGGACAGCAACAGGTGGCGGTGGCGGCGTGCTGCGGGGTGGCCAAGGCGACGCCCCAGGAAGCCCGGCTCTGGGGGCTGACAGTGGCCACGACTCTGGGGAAATCTCTTTTGGCATTTTACTTTCAGAGACTGGAAAGAAGGAAGTGGTTAAAAAAAAAATTAAGGCCGCTCCCAGGACTCCCATTTCTCTAGAAACCTTTGTTTCTTCGGAAGTTGTTCCTGTTTAAGATTAAATGAGCGCACATGCAAACGTTTCTTACGCCTTGCGAGCTTTGGTTGGGTTATTGCTGACCCGGGTGGGGAAGGGGACGTAGTTTTTTTTTTTTTTTTCCTGAATAAGTTAAAAAGTCCCAAAGGGGGTCCCGGCTGCGGACTGGCTTTCCTGCCCTGCTCCCTTTCACTAGGGAGACAAATCCCCCCTGCACCCGGTTCTGATCACAGGTTTGTGGGTGACGATAACCCGGATCATGTCACTGTGTTTCTCAGACCCGTCTGATACCGGTGACCTAAGAGTCAACTTGCATCCAACACCGGAATTCCGGGGTGTTGCCTGAGCCGGGTAGGTTTTGTCCCCTTGACACGGACCAGGGTCCCCCAGGAAGAGGGAACTGCAGTGGAAGAATGACCTCCGCCAGACTGGCCCGTGGGCACACCTGTGGGGCCTGCATGGATGTGGCGGGGCCCAGCCCTGTGTAAGGGCCACTCCTGGTCTGGTGGCTCCGGGTTGCTTAAGCAAGGAAACTGTGCGAGCCACGCAGAGCAATCCAGCAGGTGGCCTTGTCATGGCCCAGGCTACAGTGTCCGTCCCAGCGTCCGGCCTAGAGTTTCTGCCTTGCCTTCCCTGCACGAGGGGCTGCGACCTGGAAGCCAAACGGACCCTTCAGTCCCTCAGATTGCTGATGTCATGGCGCCGACGCCACCGCTAGAAAGGTGACTGGGACACTGGCTTTTTCCCTCCAGAACAGAAGGGACAAACAAACAAACAAACAAACCCCGGAACTGTCAGCAGCTCAGCACTCTGCCACCACGCACCCTGCGATGTCCTTCCAGGTCACCCACCGACACCCCCAGTCCTGCCAAATGAGGCGCTCTGCAGACTGTTCCCATGGAAATTGTCAAACCCTAGGAAGCAATTCCTATTTTGAGGCCCCACTTCCTCCTGAGCAGTTGCTTAGGAAGCCTCTCTGTAGGCCGGGCTTCCACTGCCAGCCGCTTCCAGCCTGGTAGCAGGTCGTACACACACACACATGGCACACAGACACACATGTACACAGACACATGTACAGAGACACACATGTACACAGACACACATGTACACAGACACACACGTACACAGACACATGTACAGAGACACACATGTACACAGACACACATGTATACAGACACTATGTACACAAACACACATGGCACACAGACACACATGTACACAGACACACATGTACACAGACACACATGTACACAGACACACATGGCACACAGACACACATGTACACAGACACAAATGACACACAGACACACATGTACACAGACACACATGGCACACAGACACACATGTACACAGACACAAATGACACACAGACACACATGTACACAGACACACATGGCACACAGACACACATGTACACAGACACACATATACACAGACACGCATGTACACAGACACGCATGTACACAGACACACATGTACACAGACACACATGTACACAGACACACATGTGTGTGTGCTTGCGCCCGTGTGCGTATGTATGTGTGCACACATGTGCGTGTCTGTGTGTGTGTGCATGTGTGCGTGTGCGTGTGTGTGATTGAGTGTGTGCATGCATGTGGTGATGACCCCAAGCCTCCCACCTCCTGCTGCGTGTTTGCATCTGCAGATTTGCTCGCAAACAGAGCCTGACTTGGTGCCCAGAGGCAGGGCTGTGTTTCAGACAACATGCAAAGGTCAGCATGGCTGAGTGCGGAGGGGATGAGGCTTGCGGAAGCAAGAGGCGCCTGCTCTAAGCTGTGGCCGAGACACGCGGGTCTACGACTCTGCCTTACAGAGGGGACGGATGCATGGGCACCACATGGGCTGTACCTCCTTGTTTTTAAAAGAATAAGTGTGCATGACACAACTGACCAGTCAGCGTGTACTACAATGACCAGTCAGTGTGTACTGTAATGACAGTCAGCGTGTACTGTAGTGACAGTCAGCGTGTACTGTAGTGACAGTCAGTGTGTACTGTAATGACAGTCAGCGTGTACTGTAGTGACAGTCAGCGTGTACTGTAATGACAGTCAGCGTGTGCTGTAGTGACAGTCAGCGTGTACTGTAGTGACAGTCAGCGTGTACTGTAATGACAGTCAGCGTGTACTGTAGTGACAGTCAGCGTGTGCTGTAATGACAGTCAGCGTGTACTGTAGTGACAGTCAGCGTGTACTGTAGTGACAGCCAGCGTGTACTGTAGTGACAGTCAGCGTGTACTGTAGTGACAGTCAGCATGTGCTGTAATGACAGTCAGCGTGTACTGTAGTGACAGTCAGCGTGTACTGTAGTGACAGTCAGCGTGTACTGTAATGACAGTCAGCATGTACTGTAGTGACAGTCAGCGTGTACTGTAATGACAGTCAGCGTGTACTGTAGTGACAGTCAGCGTGTACTGTAGTGACAGTCAGCGTGTACTGTAATGACAGTCAGCGTGTACTACAATGACCAGTCAGCGTGTACTGTAATGACAGTCAGCGTGTGCTGTAGTGACAGTCAGCGTGTACTGTAGTGACAGTCAGCGTGTACTGTAATGACAGTCAGCGTGTACTGTAGTGACAGTCAGCGTGTACTGTAATGACAGTCAGCGTGTGCTGTAGTGACAGTCAGCATGTACTGTAGTGACAGTCAGCGTGTACTGTAATGACAGTCAGCATGTGCTGTAGTGACAGTCAGCGTGTACTGTAGTGACAGTCAGCGTGTAATGACAGTCAGCTTGTACTGTAATGACAGTCAGCTTGTACTGTAATGACAGCGTGTACTATAATGACAGTCAGCGTGTAATGACAGTCAGCGTGTACTGTAGTGACAGTCAGCGTGTACTGTAATGACAGTCAGCGTGTACTGTAATGACAGTCAGCGTGTACTGTAGTGACATTCAGCATGTACTGTAGTGACAGTCAGCGTGTACTGTAATGACAGCGTGTGCTGTAATGACAGTCAGCGTGTGCTGTAATGACAGTCAGCTTGTACTGTAATGACAGTCAGCGTGTACTGTAATGACAGTCAGCGTGTAATGTAATGACAGTCAGCGTGTAGTGACAGTCAGCGTGTACTGTAATGGCAGTCAGCGTGTACTGTAATGACAGTCAGCGTGTACTGTAATGACAGTCAGCGTGTAATGTAATGACAGTCAGCGTGTGCTGTAATGACAGTCAGCTTGTACTGTAATGACAGTCAGCGTGTACTGTAATGACAGTCAGCGTGTAATGTAATGACAGTCAGCGTGTAGTGACAGTCAGCGTGTACTGTAATGGCAGTCAGCATGTACTGTAGTGACAGTCAGCGTGTACTGTAATGACAGTCAGCGTGTGCTGTAGTGACAGTCAGCGTGTACTGTAATGACAGCGTGTACTATAATGACAGTCAGCGTGTAATGACAGTCAGCGTGTACTGTAGTGACAGTCA